GAAAGAGTCTGCTGGGTCCAAGTCATTATTAAGTCTTGATGAAGCCTTTTTCCCAAGTTTTCCGGCTCACCCGAGGCAGTGCAGTAATGGAAGAAGGAACTGGAGCCTATTGGCCTCATGCTGGATGAACAACTCGACTCTGACACTACGGACTCCTTTTAGGGGGGCATTGAGATGGAAGACAGTTTGAAATTCAGATTCTGGGCTGCACTTTCAGAGCAGAGGACTAGAAAAGAGCAATTATGAAACCTGATTAAATATTATTCCATTTCAATGTATTTGTGCTATGAAAGGACCAGGCATACACTAGAGCTTAGGTCTACAAACTCTGTGAAATCAATAGGAAGTGAGGAAGCTTAAGTAGGAAACAGAAATGTCAATATTCTGTTGGACCTAGGCCATGGTTTGATAAGGTAAAATACAGTGCAAGATGACACAAGACCCTTCCTCAAAGAGCTAACTATGTAGAATAAATTACTGAGAAGTGACAGGACTTCCCACAACCATAGTATTAACCTTACAGATGAGCAGGGTCAGAAGGAGTGTACAGAAGGTACCTTTCCTTTAGCAATAAAACAGAAAAGTTCAAGGAAAAAGAATCCAAACATTTTCTCCGTAGGCAAATTAAAAATGGATCCACAGGTTGCCATGGCTACAAAAGTCCATTTACTCTAGTAGTGTTTTCTAGCAGCTAAACACAAGTTTAAGTGACTAAGGAGAAAACAGGGCTCTGGTTATACTGTTCCATTAGGTTTCTATAATTAAATCTTTCAAGTGCAAACCACCACTGGTGACCGTTGTCTGAATTGTTCATAAAAACCCAGTGGACTGATGAAACCATTTTTAGAACCACCCGTCATATCTCTGTGCTTCTGCAATCATTTGGGATCAAATGACTACTAGCATGTCACACATGGCAATTTTCACAATCCAGAATCCTCATTTTGGGTTACGGTGATCTAATTAGCAGTTTCCATGGCTGGTCTGAGGGGAACACGTGAAAAGCTCTGTCTTAGACCATGAGGCAAGCAAAAACCTTAGGCATCCAGCCTCCATAGTCCTATCTCAGAAAAGTGATCTTACCTTTCCATGCATGCAGAGAATTTCTCTGCTTGTGGGACAGGCAGAAGAGTGATTTGTCTTTGTATAGACTAAGCTGAAAGAGGGGAAAGTTCCACCAACAAAAATTGAATGTGTGTGTATGGCAGGAGACTTCATCATTAAAATGTCATGTTGGATTGGTAGATGCAAGGGTCAGTCCTGCCCCTCTCTGTCAGCGCAGTAGTCTCCTCCCAGAGCTCTTGTCTCCAGTATTCTCTTAAAAATAATGAAAACTGAACTTCTGATGTTCTGATTTTCTGATGCCATTAGGAGGGAAAATCCTGGCAGTGTGCATCAGACAGCTGTGAATGGAACCTGGTTTTGGCGTAAAGTGTGCAAGAGTTGGGAGAAATTGTCCTTGCTGCAACAAGCAGATAGAGGTGGCTATGTGGGTTTCTCTGGTCACTGGACTTTCCCATGAATACTTTTGCTGGGAGCCTATTGTGATAAATCTTTTTCTGTCCTGGGCTTCAGAGCACTCCTTCCAGCTGTTGTATTTTACGGAAAAACCCCAGCAAATTTAAAGACATCTGAGAGTCTATGGGCAATTTCATAGAATCTGGATGCCAAAGTGAATTATACGTCACCTGGATGAACACTTCCATCCTTCCACAAATCAGAAGTTTATTTCAATATATCTAGTACAAAAAACCTGTCAACATATTTAAGGTGGGGCTTAAAAACCATTGTGTGAGAAGGTCAACACAGGGCATCTGTATTTTTTTGTTTCATGGGAACTGCATATAAAACAGATAACATTTGTGAAGAACAGTCTGTGGTTTTCTACATGTCAACCAAGAAAATTGGATTCTTGAGATTCAACCTGGTCACTCATCATTACCAGCAAGAAAAGTTCTGCATATCCAGTCATGCCTTCCCATCAGGGTATTTTGAAGACACGGGGTGGCAAGGATCAATTAAAATGGTAGCCTGGCCTATAGAGTTATGATTTCTGGTGACTAGTGAGATGAAACAAACCCAGTGCAATGCCAAATTACCGGCTAAGTTGGCAGAGCTTGCAATAAAAAAAAAAAATTAAAAATCCATTTGTATATAAGCTTAGCAATATTTTAATATAACCAATAAGACACTTTTGAGATTTTTCAAAGTAGAAATACAGCTTAAATCTCACTCCTCAAATTACACTGGGCTTTTCTATTTGCTTAAGGATGCACAGGAGATGGATTCTTTTCTCTGTATTTGGCTGTATGCACCATATAGAACTTTAAAGCTTTAATGAAGTCATTGCAATTTAAAAATACCTGAATAGAACACAAGATTGGTCTTTTAAATACCTACAGAGTCCAGTTTTTATAACTGTGGCAGTTTGAGCCACGTTAGAAATCTAAAAATCCAATTTTCAGGCTTCTCCACCCCCTCCCACAATTATCCCAACACTACTGAAGAGAAACTTTCAGGCCAGAGGCTTCTATAGGGGAAGGGGAAGTATATACATTTATTTACACAAATAAATACTATACAAGCTAAAGACAACTATATATATATTACATTTCTATCAACCAGTCCTTTCAAGTGCCTCCTTTAAGTTCAGTCCAGGAAAGAGCCTTTTCAAGGCTGGAAAGTAACCAGTCACTCTGTGGGAGTGTTCTGGGCCTGAACGCTCCCCCCTCACCAAGTTCCAGTTGTTTTGTTGTAGTCTCTCCTCCTCATAAAGCCCGAGAAGATAGCTTTGAGTCCTTGCTCTCCTGCTGCTGTGTGATCTCTCTCTCTCATACCTTGGTTCGTAGGCTGCTGCAGTGTGGTCCTGCTTATCAAGTGTCCACGTCCTGGCATGTGGATTTCTCCTCAGGTTTTCGGTTGTCCTGCGTGGCAGAGACATCCTCCGGGCCCCTTCTCCCTCTCTCTGGCGGGATCCGTCTCCAATTTCGCTTGGGACTCTTTCTCCCGAGCGCCGGGCCTGCCTCCACGGCCCGTCCACTTGGCTCAGCTTCAATGCTGAGCCTCTCCTCCACTTACAGTGGAGGGACAGAAAGCCCCCCTCCATAGCTTAGCTGTAGAAAAGGAGGGGGGAGAAGGCTTGGCTACAAAAGCCAGCCTCTCTCCTCTTACCTCAAGTCAGATTCAGGTGCTCACGTGAGTCTCTTCCCTCACTGCACACACTCAGAATGCTGCCTCTAACTCTGCTCTGGGCTAGGCAGAGCTGGGGGGGCTGCAGGGCTCCCCTCTCCCCCCCGGAAGGGAGAGAGGGAGCCCAGCCACCCCCTGGCCTTCCACACCTACACGCAGCAGACACCAACAACAGAACTCTCGCCAACAGTTTCCGGTGGGCTGTGTATATATGATTTTGAACAGAAGCGAACAACATGAGTGGTGATTGGCTCTTCAGGGAGCACTGCCCTGGCACCCAATCACCTCTGAGCCCCCCTCTTCTCGAGGGGGGGCCAATCTCAAACCATGACAACTTATAATTTTCCATGTTGTGTTAGAGTCCTTCAGAACCATAAGGACATTAACCTTCCTTTTTTAAAGACAGAAACATTCAGTGTTATAAAACTTGTTAAATCTGTAGCACTACCAGGTCTTCAGATCAACCTACACTGAAAGTTTGCATCAAAAAATGCAAATAATATGCTGGCCCCTACCCCCCCCCAGTTGCATACGATACATCCACAGAATCCGATTACTGTTTATTTTGGAAGTGCTGCTGTGAAAGGGTGGGCTCGATAGCTGCTATCACTGTTGGCAAGAAGGGAGGCAGGGACTGTCGCCTTAATGAGTGTTTGTACAGTAACCAGCACAGCGGGATGCCCAATAGCAATAATAATAAGCCTTGATCAGAGATTTCAAACATTCTGGTAACATCAGACAGACTGTTCTGACTGCTGCACAACCAGGGGCCTCAGCTACTGTATGGAATCCTTAGATTCCTCCAGAGATACTTCTGAATCGTGTTTAACTAACCCAGCTAAAGCACGGGTGTTTTCACTTCCCTCATTTTACTTGCGCCACGATATTGCTTTTAGATCAGTGGCAATTTTGGAAGAATGGTTACTTCACACTGTACTCACTTCAGAAACTAACCTACATGCCACAGGTGCTCAGCCCCACAACCTGCAGAGAGCTGGATGGGGAGGAGTACGCGCGCCACCCCAGACCAGTGCAAAGCCTCCTCGGAGCCCAAGCCCAGTGGCAGGCCCAGCAGCCAGCGAGCATCTGGTGTCAGGTGTCCCACAGTCCTGTGCTCCAGCACCTTCCCCACTTTCCTTCAGGGTCCGCCCCAGCGCGGGAGCTCTGTGCCCTATTTTGGGGCAGCGCCATGAGGGCCCCGACTGCTCACGCTCTCGTGCATGAGGGGCTGCGTGGGCCCGGCCGCGCCGTCGGGGCTGGGACCCACCGGGTCAACACCTCAGCGCCTTTCCGTTCCCAGTCCTCCGCCCCCCCGCCAGGACAGCGGGAGCTACTGACGGGCCCGCAGGCACCGAGGCCAGCGCTCCTGTCTCTGCCCTGCGCGGCTGCAGCACCGCGGCGGCGGACAGCTCCGGCCGGGGCCGGGAGCGGGAGCGGGAGCGGGAGCGGGAGCGGGAGCGGGAGCGGGAGCGGGAGCGGGAG